AAGTGAAAATGCGTTGTTTAAGTTAGATGCCATTTATGTTTGTATTTATTTTTTCAGTAGTTTTGGGGACTGTTAATAAAAATGTACTATAGAATAACAGCCTTTTTCAGAGTCAGTAAATGAGGAAAGAAAACACCCGTTGGAGTTAAAAAACTAGCACAAAAAAAACCAATAACCAAAACAAAATTTCCCCCTCTCAAACCGAGAACCTAAACATTCAAGAAAAAACATAAACTTGTGCCACAGATTAGTGTTAAGCGTCTTGAAATACAGAATACATTCTTCTGGGGAAAAAATGTTGTATTGTAGTCTTCATTTTACTTCCCTGGGATTTTTTTGATCATTTTGGAGCCTGGTTTTGTTTGAATTTAAGTTAGAGGGAGGAACTGAATACTTGAATTAAGCAGCAGGGACACTTTACAAAAGCAACTGTTTCTTGTCAGTGGATAAAGTGGGGCCTGTTTAAGAGTATGCTTTTGATTAGTTGGCACATAAAAAGTTGTTGTCCTTACTGCTTCTAAATATACATTCTTGTATTAATGCAAAGCAATGTGTACCCGGTATAGGAGTGTGACAGGCATATGCAAATATTTTCTTAATGTATTAAGTATTTATGCCTCTTGATTAGTCACTGAAGGAAAATTAGATCTGCAGCCTGTCAGTGTATTCTGGTTTAATATACATTGTGGAGAAAAATTAACCTTAATGGCAAGGTTCTACAACACATGTATAGATGCAGGACAATCAAATGCAGGTTCATAAGGTTTTTGTCAGGTGTTGATCATTGCTTCATGCCTAGAAACCAAAACTCTGGCTTTGGGTTTTTTCAAAACATACTGTTTTTCACATCTTCCTCTGCAGAAAGATATTAAAAAACCTACTTAGTCTTAATATGAGAAATGTCCTCTTGATCTCTTCTGTGTTCCTTTCTGATATCACTGATTCTGCTTTGTTGTATAAAGGGGGTCCACATTTTTTTTTCCCCTCCTTTCTCAATGTATTCATCTGAACTTACCTGGTGTATG